ACGTATTGTTATATTTGTGTACTATTTTCAGATAAGTATCAATTTGTCTTGCTGCAAGTATCCACCTGCAGAGTCTATTCCAACTATTTGGCGTGAAAACTTACTACCCTTGATGCAACTTATTCGTAGTCTTACAACCGGCATTCGTGCAATGGTAACAGATATAAATAACGTTCCTCTGAGAAATGCTGTCATTAAAGTTGGAACGCAAAGTTATCATGTTTCAAAAAATATGGCTTATTTCAAAATTCTTCTTCTTCCCGGTGAATATTTATTAAGGATCTCTTGTGAAGATTATATTGAACAATCAATAAAAGTTCACGTAAATAATGAGAATATATTTGATACTCACGTTAAAATGATAAAACATCGAACGAAGGAAATAGAACTTCAAAAACATGATGAAGACCGAAAACCAACTATCGTAAACCAAGTGTTAACTGATTTGAATAATAAGTATTCACAATTATCAACTTTACATACAATAAGTAAAACAGAAGAAGGCATTCGAATAATGTGTTTAGAAATTGGAATTGAAAATAATTATAAACGGATTGGTCGGCCATCTATAGCTTTTGTTGCCGGTATTTCAAATGGTGTACCTGTAACTTCCAAGCTTTTATTACACTTTGCAACCTATTTATTGGAACATTATGGGAAAGATACTAGAATTACAAATTACTTGGACAAATTTACAATATTCATTGCACCAGATTTAACTCAAAATACAAATCACAGTCAATCTTGTTCTCCATTTATTATAAATGATTTACAATTTCCTATTGATAATACATTAACTCCGAATGCAAATGTAATAATTAATTGGTTTAAACAAATTAACACTGCATTAGCAGTAAATTTAAATATTGGATCACAACATATTGAAATTCCATTTGCGAGTAAATATGGAAAAATACATGGAGAAATATATCAAACTGATGACGATGATGTACTGCAAGATATAGCATTATCATATACAAAATACAATATTCATATGACCTCGACAAATTCAAAGTGCAATCATGATCTACGCATAAATACTAATGGTATTATTCATGGTGGCATGGGTATCGGTGGAAAAAGAAAAGATTCATTAATGGATTATCTTTATCTAAATACAAGCACACTCATGATAGATGCGTATGTAACTTGTTGCAATACAGATGATGCAAAAAATATATGGGAGAACAACAAAGCTAGCCTGTTAGCAATGGTAGAAAAACTTAACGAAGGGGTAAAAGGATACGTTCTAAATAAAAATAATGAGCCCATTGAAAATGCTATTTTATCGTACAACAAATCAATACATCATGTAAGAAATGGATTAAATGGAGCTTATTGGTTATTACTTCAACCTGGTACACATGTTATAAGTGCTAGTGCACCAGGATACATTCAACAAAATAAGATATTCATCACGCCAGATGTACATGACATTTCGTACTTAATTTTTAAATTAGGATATAATGACAAATTTATGGGAATGCCCAGAATCGTTTTTATTATTCTTATAAGTAAGATGTTCAATAGATTTATATATTATGATTAAATTATAGTACATCGCTAATAGATCATTTTTAATTTTATATATTCTTGCAGGTACTATATGTTTGGGAATTATTACATGTATTGTGTTCATTTGGGCAAATTGTCGGTCTTCCAAAAATGTAGAAACAAAAAATTGGAATGGATATGCATTTAGCTTACTTAGAGATGGTACAAGCTTTTTTGATGATGATGAAAAAGAAATTGAAATATTTAGAAGACCAACAAATGGTTGGTGTTATTAAAATTAATGACAATTCATTTTGTTTCTAGTAATGTACTTTAGTACTTTTACTAATTAATATGATTTTAGGATATATGCCAACTACTGAAGTCACAAAACCATATTTTGATGATGATAACATATCAAGTTCTGAGGAAGCTAGTGATTTAGAATTTATTCAACCAAGTAAAGAGTGGAATGAGGAGGCAACTAAAGAAAACAGATAATACACTTGCTAAGTGATAATTTTAATATTATTTTTTTAATTATACACAGAATATAAAATTTAAGAAAACAATTGGCTGCCATAGTTAATTACATTTCTATATCATATTAAGAATTTTTTGTAGATATCTATGATTTAGAATTTGTTCTTTATAAATTGGGTATTTGAAACATATCTTTTTATAGTATTAAGGATACATATAGATATATGTATAACATTTGGATACGTATTAAACTAATCATAAATGATTTTATTAATTTTTAAATATACATATACAGGGTCTACCATTTAACTCGCAACCCATGCGCGCGCAAATTGATGAAAATGGCAACAGCGCAAGAATTCTAGAGATGTAAAAATCCGTACAGTTAAGTTGGTAATTGATTCGGGATACACCGAGTACACCGAGTTTCATCGAACTTGTTGCGGCGTGTGAAACTAACACATATTCACGCCAGAGAGCCGATTGGCGAGGGGCACGCGAAGGAGGGATTGCAGCCAATTGACTGCCGTCGTGAATATGTGTTAGAGTCACACGCCGCGACAAGATCGATGAAACCCGATGTACTTGTATCCTGAATCGAATCTCGGACCACAGTTCAGTTGATTACCAACTTAACTGTACGGTTTTTACATCTCTCGAATTTTAACGCTGTTGCCATTTTCATCAATTTGCGCGCGCATGGGTTGCGAGATAAATGGTAGACCCTGTATAGTATAGAACTCTATTCATATCATTAATAAAACATATTTGTTGCAATAGTAACTTATCATATGCTTTATGGAAAAGCATAAATAAAAGATTGTACGTATACATGGATTTACATGTAGGCCCGTATTCACAGTTGCAACTTATTTCTAAGCTGGCCTTAAGGGGGTAGACACGGGTAATAGTAGCACTTTACCGGCAAAAATGGGCCTAAACATGGGTTTACGGGATTCGACTTTTCGTCCTTACATGAGAGAATTTCGAGGTGGATGAGGGCTTATTCGAAAGAGGAAGGTCCAGTGCAGTACGGTCAACTCATGTTTCAGTGGAATTATATTGATGTTTAGTAATATAAGCGTCCAAAGTAGAGGAAAAAATCGACAAAATGCAGTCGCGGAATCGAAGCATTTTTCGGCCACTAAAAGAGTGCTGTGATTGAAATTATGAGTTGATTGTACTGCACTGGACCTTCCTCTTTTGAATAAGCCCTCACCCAGCCCCAAATTCTCTCATACGGGACGAAAACTCGAATCCCGTAAAACCATTCCTACAGACCAGTTCCGCCATTTTGTGGATAATACAGAGCAAGTCACATGACAAATTCAGTTCAGCTAGTAGTTATAAGGTGGCATCTAACTAAGAAGGCTGTCGATTTGGAATCGTAGCCAAAATCAGGCGTTAGCTTGGTACGTCACCCGACTGTGTCAACGAAGGCAAGCGAAAAAGGCAACAACGCCCGAACGCTGAGTGAGACGCACTACAGTCATGCTGTCCTTCTCTCATTATGAATGTTGAGATCGTCCCTTTTCGCTAATCGTCAGCCAATCAACATCGTCAGACTCCCGACTACTCTCTGGACTTCACATAATCTCTTTGGTTTTGTTCCAATAATTTCGCTTGTTTCAAGGTTTTTGTTAACTTATATACACGTTCATCAATTCTTAAATGTTTCAATTTGATCCAAAGATGGTTTCATTTTGCTTCATACCTAAATTTTCTTGAAACCACTGTAAATATTTTAAATATCATGCTTCACAACACCAAACTACTTCGAGAGTACACAAAATATATATCACATTTATAACAATTTTATACTACCACATCACTTCTATTTGCCATAGTTGCAACGTTTATATATTGTTTATACATAATTAACACAAAACAGTGTATATTACTACAGCTTTTAATTAAAAAAGACGTTAATTACAATTCCGAGCACAGGACTCTGTTTTTGAAAATAGGACCCCGATTGTCACTGTTGCGAACCTCGCCTGTATGTATGTGTGCAATATCGTGTGAATTTAGCTGCAAGCTTGTAATCACAAGCATTGAATGAAATGTAATATGGCGACGATGCCATAAGAGTATGGTTGCAGCATGTCTGCATTATGTTATATCAATGCTCATAAATTAGGAGCCAAAATTCAAAGTAATAAACAAACAAAGGAAAGGACATTGCAAATCGTTCAGCGCGGGTGGTCGTGCTGGGAGAGAGTTGGAAAACCAGAGAAATAAGACTGTCACACTTGAAGTTTCTAAGAAACTAATATATTGCGGACCGTATCTAATTCATTACTCTTAACGAAAATCATGTTGATTCTTGAAACTGTCGAAGTCACTTCGACATCCTGCTTATTTACAGAGGGTCGTAAATATTCTTAAGGGTTGCCTTGGCTCGCTAGCGCGAGACCTTTTTATCTTTCATTCTCTCTGGATCCCACGCTTTCTCTTAGCACGTGTGCATGGAATCGTTCTCGAATCTTGGCGGAGCACCACCATCTTCCACTCGCCTGAGGGTGGACCGAAGCCAGGGAGAGGGACCGCCTCCGGACAAGGATGGACTCCTCCACCATTGGGCCAGGGATGATCCTGAGGGAGGATTCAGGATCCAGCGAGGAGGGGATGGCAGCCAACATCGATCGAAGATCTTCACCGCCAAGCTCAGAACGATTCAAAGCTTCAACCCGTCTGGATATAAATTTTGAAAAGGAAATAATAAAGTTATTATCAAAAAAATATCTTTAAAACGCAAAGTGTTTTCATTTTATTAAACGCCGCGCCACGAGCAAAGCGCTTCAGCGCTTCACGGGCACCTTACCCACGTTCGGCCTTTTATAAAGAAAATCCCTAGAACACTAAATCCACACGCAACATCACGTGAGCGGTGCTGCCACGTTGTTCAGCATGGCTAGTACTACAGTCGGCTGTGGCCACAAGTCAATATGGCGTTGAAGTAACGTGTCAAATTTAATACGCTAAGGTTAAACTTTGATTCCAGGGACATAAAATTATTGCCCTTTTTTTTTGCTCTTTAATAGTTTTTGACACGTAAAATCCATAAATGTAGGTCGTAACTTTAGGAAATTAGCGGTTCAAAAGTTATGAGTATGTAAAGTTCGCGTTTTTAGGGTATTTTACACGCTACTTTGACGCCATGTTGCTTCCATCTATTATTTGATTGGCCCGCATAGATGAGCTTTCAAAGTTCCTATGTATCATACTACCAACCTAAAAATTTTAAACAGGGCCCTTTAAAAGAAATTATTACATTTCAACAGTATTATTATTTCACGAAAGCGTTGCCGACCGCCTGACGGCGGTCGGATTTAAGTATATAGCCTAACCTAATCTAATACTTCCGCTTACCTTATTTAAAAATATATTGTTTCTTAATTGCCTCCATTAATGATTCCATCATATCGACTTTGTTTTTGCGGCAAAATCGACGCCATAAATACTCGCACAGGCGGTCGGCGAAATCATTATCGTGGAAAACAAATTCAAATGAAACATTTGATTTATCCCGCCAAAATGGCCGCCGAATGCTCATCTATGCGGGCCAATCAAATAATAGATGGAAGCAACATGGCGTCAAAGTAGCGTGTAAAATACCCTAAAAACGTGAAACTTTACATACTCATAACTTTTGAACCGCTAATTTCCTAAAGTTACGACCTACATTTATGGATTCTACGTGTCAAAAACTACTAAAGAGCAAGAAAAAAGGGCAATAATTTTATGTCCCTGGAATCAAAGTTCAGCCTGGATGAAATTCAAAAAATAGAAATACTTAAACAAGAACTCATACAAGCAGAAAAAGAGAAAAGTGAAACTTTCTTAACAATTATATCATTAGAAAATGAAATTGAAAAAACTGAATATAAAAAAACATCAAATGAAGAAGTTGCAAATGCTTATGAATATGAAGTTGACCAAATTCTACGACAATCAAAGAATGTAGGAATGAGAAGAGAAGATAGATGGGAAACAAGGAAAGCAGATGAATATCGATTAAAAGCTATACAAGCTGAACATCATATTGAGAGACTTTATGTTTCAAGAGAATATGAAGAAAGAAAAATTACACAACTTGATAAAAAAATTGATAAATTAAAACTAGAAATAAATTCTATTAATTGTCAGAATCAATCCTCAACAAGTGGATATGGTGAACCTTCAACTTCTAAATCACCAAAAATGTAAGAAAAATAACTAAAATCAATTTTAAGCCACCTAGAAAGCTCATAGACAATCGATTAAAAAATATGGTTTTTAATTGAAGTTACAGATTAGCTATTTTTGATTTTGTAACGTTATCGCGAAATTTCATCGACACGCCACCTCGCGAAATAGCCCCGAATTATCCACGGCTGGCGATTCGAATATGTTAATGTTACGCGAACAAACATCGCGTAAACCTTATCCCGTTAGACTCTAATAAAACAATCCTAAACTATGTTAATTTCAAAGGAACTTTACCACCGTAAACGTTTATAACCTCCGTTTTTCGAACTCCAGGCCATCCGCGACGAACGATAATTTAAATTCACGAACTTCCTTTCAAATCGCAGTTGTCCCCGTGTTTATTACCGATAATAGGTTGCTTTATTCACCGTCGCCCTAAGGTACGGTCGTTGCCGTCAACTTTATTGCTTTGCCGCGGCTAACGGTCCCGAACGGGAAACATCGACGCCGACCAGCCGAAGGTAAAAGACCCTTGGAAAACCCTCGGGGTTTTCCCCAAAAATCGCTACGTCACAAGCGGGCGGCCACCTCGAACTCCCCGCTACAAATTCAGCCAACCAAAACAACCACTCTTGTTACCGCCCTCCACCAATCATGTAAAACAACCCCCACGCTACGTCTCCGCGAAACTTACCTTGTAACGCGTTTTTGAAATACAGAGCAGAACAACTCTTGACTCCGTTCAATCTTGACGTTTTATTAAAACCTATCATTCGAAGTAAGAAGTTTTAGTTTTGGCGCGCACCAAGCAAAGTGTTTCTACACTCCACGGGCAGCCAACCCACGTTCCTGGAACCTTTCCCCCAGAATCTCCCTAAAACCGCTACGGGAAACGTAACAATTTCAAGCAAATGATTTTTACTTTAGTTCTTTTAAGAAAGTAGTAAATTAAAATTAACTACAAATATACAAAAAACAAATATTGTAATTGGTCATGTTCAATCTAAAATTCAACAAGATACAATCTATATTGATAAATTTGGAACTCAACTAACAACTAAGTGAATCTAATTTATCAAATATAAAAAGTAAAGAAATTGTTCAAATTGGATTTTATAAAAATGAACTAGGAGAAATTCAGGTTGTTCAAATGCCCCAAACTGTTGAAAAAGTTCCTAATTAATTACTAACAGAAATAACATCATTTATATAAATATATGTTTTATGGTACATTAGACTTACTGCATAACTACTTTTGGGGTATATTATATTTATTAAAGAAATATAATTTTATAAAAAATGGAAAATATGTTAATTAAAATAAAACTGATAAATTGTATTTATTTTAAATTTATTAATTTTATAAAAACATTTAAAATAGTTATGCAGTAAGTCTATTCAATTTTAATCAAGATTTGTCTAAATGAGATACTTCAAGTGTGTGTGGTAATGCTTTACTCTCTATACGCGTCGTTTCCGTTTTGCGTTTTTCCGTTATATGTACTAGATCTTATGTTTTCAAGTACAAAATGTTAATCTCATTTTCTTATTATCATTATCTACTAAGTATTATTTATGTTTAACTATCGTTCATTTATATTAATATCAACAAAATAATAAATATAGTTTTGCAAAGATTAATCACACGAGTTGTGCTTTCCACGTGGCTTTTTTCTTCTACTTTGGACACTGATATTATTAAATATGGACACAATCTCGTTAAATCATGAGTTGATCGCCTTGCATTGGACCTTCCTCTTTCGAATGAGCCCTCACCCAGCCCTAAGTGTTCTCATATAAGGACAAATAACCGATTCCCGTAAACCCATTAATAGGCCCATTTTTGCTGGTAATGTCACCTCGCTGCATTATCCGTGTCTACCTCCTTAATTTTTCAAATATTTTACGTTTTAAAAAGTATCTCCGAAAGATTTGTAAAACGAACTTAATTCGAAGAAATAATACTAGCATCGACCAGATAATATATCATCTCATGATACAGTTCAGCACCGACACTCTTTGTTGGTAAACTCACTAATTCAGGTTCTGTTTCTTACTGCGGCCGCAGTATATTCTAGAGGGCGTAAGAAAACGTCGAATTGTAGGAATGAGTGTTATCCCAAGAGTTAGGGCTCCTACTTTACCGCTTGATGAATCACAAGCACAAAATAGTTTTGTTGTGAAACTTTATTACTTGCTACAAATTTGCAACTAAAAAGTATATCTAATCAATTATAATAAACTCGGTCGCAACTTAGGCTACTCAAACATAGAATATAAATTCACGAATGAAACCAACCACGCAAACTATAGCGCCTGGAAAAATCGTTGCCGCAAAATGAAGCAACTGCTTCAAGCGTCCGCACAAGAATGAGAAACTTTAATCCGGAAAGGGAAAGCGACGCTTTTCCCGGAAGTAGGTGTCGTGGTAAAAATCCCCCAATTTTTCCCCGCGACTTTCAACGGAAACGTACGCTTCGGCAGGACGGCTGACCATAAGCAGAGGTCGCCACAGAATTTTCCTGAAGCCGCAACCTCCCATAAGAATGGCAGTCTTTAACAGTATCTCGTCGGTGACCCTACGTTGGTAAGGAATCTTTAGTAGTCTCTTGTCGGTGATACAGACCCAACTTCATTCTGACTCCAAAATCCACGTGCTGTTGCAAACAAAAGGCTGACAAATTTTGTAGTATCTCTAATGGTTTTTAATGGCAAGAAGCGTTGAGAAAGTTCTCAAAATAAAACAAGCGAAGATGGGGTGAGAATGGAAGTTTAACTTTCCATCAGTTTATAAGTGTGTCGTGGATACGTGCCACTTAGTTCTTCGCAAAACTTTTACACTTTACAATTTTCAACTTATAATTAATTTCACAGATACAATTCATTTTAAAAAATGTATTAAATAAAAATATAACCTAACCTAACTTAACCTATGTTCTTATATGTACTAAACAAAAACAAAAAATTTTCTTCAAAAAGATTTGTCTTAAATACGTATTTATTTTGTTATACATTTGTATTACTGAATGTACCTAAATTATCAAATAAAGTGTTAAGTTTTCAGTTTTTATTCTTATTCTTTAAATATACAGGGTGATTCTCTCGCAACGCAACACAAAAGCCGTCCCGCACTATGGAACCCTGCTGTTTTTGCGGGTAAAGAGACCCAGAGGCCATATCGCCGGACCCAAAACTGCTTTGTGTGTGTTTATGGTTAAGACGAAGACAAGAAACGGAACAGCAGGGGTTCCATTGTGCGGCACGGCTTTTGTGTTGCGTTGCAAGAGAATCACCCTGTACCTATGTCTTAAAGAACACTTTTGTGTTACCAAAAATTCTTCTTGTAAACAGTGCTTTTGTCTAAAATGAAGCTTTCTACAAAATTTTAGCCAAATCAGATTTGGTAGGTTTTTGGAAATTTCGTTGGTATGTATTAGAGTATTATTTCAATTCTTGAATACAATTATCGAAATGCTATTTGAATACTTTGTCGATCCGTGGCATCCGATTCAAATTTCAAATTCTTCAAATAAATTCAAATTATAATATAGTTAATAACAAATATAAAATTTGGGTAAACTTTACCTCAGGGGCCCAAAAATTATGGCCTTTTTTTTCTATCTTCTTGAGGTATTTAACGAGTAGAATCTAAAAATCCTAGTTTTAAGGCGCGGAATCCATCGGTTCAGAAGTTATACGTGTGTAAAGGTGAGCGTTTTTAGCGTATTTGACAGGTTATTCCCCGTATCCAATCCTTTGCCGACCACCAGTTGGACTCTATTTGTTGGGTGTGAGTACCATCAGTTCCTATCAAATCCGAGGGCATATTGTTTATAAAAAAAAACTAACCTTAGGTATACCGGGTTTAGGCCGCCACTTAAGTACATAATTCTGTTTTACCGACGGCGACTCCACTCATTGGACGACACCAGGTTACAAGTCAATATGGCGTCGAAGTAACATGTAAAATATGCTAAAAACGTTCAGTTTTACACACGTATAACTTCTGAACCGATGGATTCCGCGCCTTAAAACTAGGATTTTTAGATTCTACTCGTTAAATACTTCAAGAAGATAAAAAAAAAGGCCATAATTTTTGGGCCCCTGAGTTAAAGTTCAGCCTAAAATTTTATAATACATACTTAAGAACAGGAAGTGAATGAAGTTTTACTTAACACTAAACGAACCATGGACCGGTCAAATAACCGGTTGTAAACTTTTGATTAGAAAATTCGCATAAAATGTTATCGCTTTTTCACATTTGACTTCATGACTTTTTCTATTAAATATATACTATTAATTTTACATCATTTATTTATATTTTTATTTGTTAAATCCGATAAACGCGTGTAACCTAGCGTCATTTACCACGATAGGTCATTTGACCGGTTGCGGTACAAATAGGTATATATTAAATCTCGGTACGTTTAGTATTAAACGATGTACCAGGGGAAAAAAGGGAGACAATTTATTTCGAAAATACGATTTATTAACCTGTCGAACGTAAATTCTGTAACGCACGCATTGTCTTTTGCCATGCTCGTTTCTCTACATTCTCACGCACGCGGTATACAAAATCTATATTGTTACTATACTTACACATCGTGACGCGTAGCTTATAGTTAAACGTACAGTATCCTAGACATTCTATTAATTACTATGTCGATTTCAGCAATTTGGATCGTCGAAGAGTCTTGTTACTTCTTATGCAATTTTATTTAATTACATTGAAGTTTTCAGATTTTAAATTCTTCCTCTTTCTTTCTCATTCCCAATTCCGATTTCGATTATAGTTTACTTTGCTATAAATCAATTCATGCTATGAAAATGTATTTTCTTTATTTAATGCTTTATATGCGATAGTGGAATCAAGGGCTTCCAATATAATTGAAGAATAAGTAGACATTTCATTAAATTTCTTAAATAAGAATTTAAACACATGTTCACTAAATTTATTGGAAATTCTTTAACACACTAAGTGCCATAATTTGAGTATAATTTTTTAAATAGCACATTAAAATGAGGTAACATATCGCGTCAACTATTTTTATAACATAATAATCAGTTTTGTTGAGACAAATTATTTATTACACTTGTAATTTTGTTTATCAGTTATAGTTTTGGCATGGTGACTAATTTACTAATACAGTAATTAACACGTTAGCTACCATCAGTCAGCCAAAAATTCATCCATTACAAACCAAGCATAGATCTATGTACTTTGTAACTATTGAATTTTTTTGTTAAAAATCATATAAAATAAGGTAATACAACTTCAGACCATGTATTTATATAGTTTATATTATTATACTACTTTGTAGGTGCTATAACAGACTTTAATTTTTATCTATTTTAACCCTTATTCGAATAAACGGTTTTCTGCGGTCATTATTTTATTTAAGTACCATGTTACCAAATTAGTAAATATAAATGAATTTGTTATGCAACATTAAACAACTTGATAAGATTATAAAGTTATGCTCAATAGATGCTGAATTCTGAGATATGTTTAAGCTAACCGCCTGATCGTGGTTCCAACTTGTCACGTGATCCCGAGACGCTTGATTACTCTCACGATCGGCCATGTGATGTCGGAAAGGTACTGGCGCTTTGACAATAAATTTTCTAATAATTATATCCACGCGTATTAAACCACGCTTATTATTAGTTTAAAGATTTGAGGGAGCGCTACGGCTTCCATAATCCGAAGAAGGGTTGAAGCATTGATTTTCGTTTATTTTAAAGT